TTTCTTAGGTCAATTCCATCACTTTACAGAAAAAAGGTATTAAAGAGGAGGAATTATTTGGGGCAATTTTAGATCAAATTATTATAATCAAATCATCAATAAATTTTAAATGTGAAGAGCCCATAAATTCACATCATGTAACTAAGAATTACTTGAGTAAAGTGTTGTGTTTATTATTCACAATATTGATGAAATAATCAACAGAGATGCCCACAGGCATATACGTGGGCAATGTTAATTGTGATTTATATGCGCAATGAAATAGTTGTCAGCCATTAAAAAGAATGAAATCCCCACAGAGGGGTAGTCAGGATCCACCGCAGTAAACCCTTAGACTTTGCTTCAGGGATGAGGGTCTTACCTTCTTTCAACACTTTGAAGCTGTTTCCTATCCTTAGTTTGTCATATTTTGCTTTTGTAAAGTACTATGGATTCTGTACGTTTGTAAAGAATTGCTCAAGATCTGTATAAAATGTTTACAGATCTTTTTAATTGTTTACAGATTTTCAATGAATAAAGGCATAAAAATCCCCCTCTTCTGTCTGCCAAAATTATTAATAAGGCTTTAAAAAAGTCCTGGAGCAAATAAGTCGATTTATTTCACGGCACTTCCAATTAACATCCTATAAAACTAATATGCCAGGTCACACATTCTGGGCCATTCTGCTGTAGAAGATGTTTTGAAAGTCAGATATTAATAATGGTACTCAAAGTTTCTATACAATTATTCAATTAATTGTTATTAAAAATCTCCTATACACTTTTAGTACAAGAATTGTCAATCATGCCTAACGAATTACAAAAATTCTGCAAGACTGTGTTTTTGGTTTTGCTTGTTTTGTTTTGTTTTGGGGTGATCTCTGTATCCCTAGTGTGTGGCTAAGGCCTGGCACACAGTGGGTATTCAGATATTTGTTGAGCAAGTGAATGAATGATGTAGACATATTCCAGGATGCGAATAACTTTCTCTCCCTATCAAAGACGTCTTATTTACAAAAGGTAAGTCCAAAAGAGCCTTAAGCCAATGCACTTTCTAAGAAAAAAAGCTGTAATATTGGATCACGTATCAGTTCTGCCAAATCCAATTTCTCCTTGGATCTTGGCACACCATTCATCCTCACCTAGTGAGTATGTGTAACGCTGCAACAGGAAGCTTTATACGACACATTTTTCAAGCCAGATTAATTTTGTTATTGAGCTGCTTAAAAATTCCAGCTTTTGAAATTTTTGTTTAACAGCTAACTCTGGAATCGTGTTTCTCAAAGTGTTCCAAGATATAATTTTTATAGAAAAATATACAAAAAACATAGTAAAATATGATTTCTATACAAAATATTTGTACACTGCTATATATACTTACATATTGTTAATATAATCTCTAAAATTTTTGAAAAAAAACACTTATTTTCTAAGAGAAATGTATCAGCTTCTATGTAAATACCAATGTCTATATATATATATATATATATATATATATATATATATATGGTTACTCTCTGAACTAAATTTTCAGAAAATAGGCTGACAAAGTATTTGTGCTATTTGGGGTTTGAGAGGCAAGATAGAAGGCAGAATTTGGGTGCTGAAACCTTAGAACTCAAGGAACCTCAATTTATAATAGCTGACATAAGACTGTAACTTGCCCCTGACCTGGAAAATCTGGGTTATTAAATTATTAAGCAGCATGAGGCTTACATTCTCTATAATTTCACAGCTCTCAAGATTGCATTAGAAAGGGTTCCTGGAAATCCTCTTTTAGGACATAGTTCCCCATAAAATGGGCATGACTTTGCAACAAGACTCTGTCCCTTTGATCACCACATTTCTCCTGATGTATTTTAAGCCTGGAGGTTGAAAATCCCAAAAGGGCAATAAAATTGAAGGTAATGAGACAGTCTGAATGTTGGTACACATGTTGTGTCTGGCTGCAGGAGCAGTAACTGACTTTTGGTAGTATATTGGAAAGCTTTGGTGGCCATCCATAAATTAATATCTTGCTAAAAGCCAGGACCACTCAAAGTTCTCTTAATCAGAGGGACCAGAGCCTTCACTATAGGACAACTAAGGTAACAGGACCTTCAGCTGACCCAGACCACTACCCTTGAACCTGCTCAGAACTGTAATTCTTCCTGCCTGGGAGTGAGGCAAGGCCTTGGTGCTGGCTAGTTACAGCTTCTAGAATGGGACTCAACCCCATTACCCCCCACAGTAGGGTCTTTCCACTCCCCTGTCCTCTGGAAGGCAGAAGGACAATGTGATCTCACCTTTACCATGTGTAAGGTGTGTACTTTCAGGAGAAACCTACTCATTTGGGGGTACTATTTTTTATGTACTAGGGATTGAACCCAAAACCTCTCAGATGTGCTAGGCAAGTGCTCTCCCTCTTGAACTACGCTTCCCAGTACTTTTGCATTTTTGTCTGTAGGGTCTTTGAAATAGGATCTTGCTAATTTTGCCCAAACTGTCCTTGAACTCCTATCCCTCTACCTCTCCCTCCTACACAGTTAGGATTACAGTTGTGCACCACCACACCTGGCTTAGGGAAGACTTAAACCCACTTTCATCTTCAGCATTTGAAAATTAGCTTTTAATAGGAGCAACCGTAAAATAAAAACCTAATGTATTACTTTTGTAGTGTACAGTTCCATCTTAGAATGCACATATATATTCATTCTGGGACACCAGTTGATTCTCATGGATTCATTTGGAGAATCACAGCCAGGTACTGTGCCCCAGTTGGCATTAACAACCACCTCTGCTCTCTACCAGTTCTCCACAGCATTTTGAGTAAAATACATTGAATATTATCAAAAGCAGATTCTACTAACATTTCTGGACACCCTTCAGTGTCCCAGGCTCCATGCTGTGCCATGTTGGTCTTCATGCAATACCAATCCTTCACTGAGGTGGCTGTTATTTCCAGTCGCCTCTCAAATGATGTTTTGTACTCACAGAGATAGTGTCATTGCTTCTTTTTTGTTTTGTTTGAACTCAGGGCCTTGTGCCTTCTAGGCAGGCACTTTTCCACTTGAGCCATGCCACCAACCTTTTTTCACTTTATTTTTCAGATAGGGTCTCTCTTATGCCCAAAGCTGGCCTTGGACTGTGATCCTCCTACCTCTAACTTGCCAGTAGCTGGGATTACAGGCACCATGCCCCACTAGTTGGTTGAGATGGGGTCTCTCTTAACTTTTTGCCTGGGCTGGTCTTAAATGGCGATCCGCTTGATCTCCCAGGAGCTAGGATTAGAGTGTGCCACTGCACCCAGCCATCAAAGCTGCTGTTTTAAATTGTGTCCTATTTCCAAGCCACAGCCTCAGTGTGTGAGCCACACTGCCCCCTATCGGCCAGGCAGTAACAATACGGAAAACAATGGGAGGAATAGATAGATGTTGCCATGAAGAAGGGCCAAGTGTGTAGAACAGATTCAAGCTAAATGAGACAGAGCATCTCCAAACAATGTCAAAGGTTTGTCTGAATTTATCTGCAAGGACATATGCTCATGATTTCCAAACAGGTTATCAGCCTCAGAGTTTACTATTCCACAGTTTATTTCTCTTACGATAGACAAATTACAATTGTCTAGGATCTGGGAACTAAAAGTCTAACTGTTGTATCATGGGGAATTGGTTAATAAGTTATACACAGAGCATTTTCCACCTCTGTGTAATAACTAATATTTTAAGGTAAAAAAGTTAACTCAAGGAGTTATCTAATGGAGGGAGAGAACTTATTCAAGGTACACTGTACCTTGTATGGAACTGCCACAGTGAAATCCTCCCATTATTAATGTATGGAAATCAAAAGATGGAAAAGTTAACCCTTGATATCTCACTTTGATTTCATAATTTCCATTCCTCAATAATAGTTTCTATCCAAATGCCTCTTTCTGAAACAAATTTTTCAGTGATCACATGATATACTGTGGTATAAAGACACTTAATATGCAAATTGCTAACATAACTTAATATTATCTTTACTCCTGTTGCTCTTTAATTTGGCGTGCAACAGCTGAGGTTTGAGCTTTTAAAAGAGCATTGAATGAGGCAATTTATAAAATCAAATGGATTTTTTAATTGTTTTATTCATTTATAGTGATCAAATTATAAAATAGACTTAGAAATGCATTAGCTAATTGCCACCCCTTCAACTTGACCATACCCAAATGCAGGCTCATTTCAAGTGCTACAGAGTCACAAGTGCCACATGGAGCCTGCTCGTTACCTCTGGAAGCCTCATCTTCATCATCTGTAAAATGGAGATGATAATAGCACCTCCTGTGTGAGTCACTGAGAGACTCGTGATTAAACGAGATAATCCTTGTAGGTATTAGTAAAGTGTCCGTCATATAACGAGTGCTCAGCTCTTATTAAGATGATGAATTCAAGAGTCCATGCTTAAACAGTACCATCCTTATATACTTTAAAGCAGAACTATTCGGAGAGTGACACTAACCACTATTCTTAGCCAGAACAATCAGAACAGAAGCACGCAGAAGCATCACTCTCAGAGGCTCACTGGGATCAGAGAGCTGCTTTCCCATATGCCTGGGATAGGCAGTTGGAATAGGTGCTAAGTGCAGTTATTACAGGCACAGGGCAGGTTGGCCTCCAGTGGAAGCCTTGTTAGAGGTAGAGGGAGGACCAGGAATTGAGACAAGACAGGCAGTTGGTCAGATTCGAGATTGACAATGGTCTAGGCAGCACAGCAACAGCTCAGATGGAGGGGAAAAAGGCCGAGGTTTAGCAAGCTAGGAAGATCAAGTAAGAGGAGGGCGTGGAGAACTTAGCCTTAGCAGGGGACCTCACTAACAGCCTTTGCCTTGAACTGAACACTTGCAAATTAACAGATGACATTGTGTGGTTTTATTGTATGCAGTGAAGTTTGGAAGACTGAAGTCTTTTAAACCAGAGTTCCTCATCTGTTTATGATAGGCTTAGTCCACGGGGGCCATTTATGCAGGTCATCCTGTTCCTTGCATAAATTTGAGATCCACTCACTGATGGGTAGGAAAACCAAGCCTTTCTATCTGTCCTCTCTGCCCTCCAAGAGGAGGTATTAGCCCAGTGGGTCTGGTGCATTGGTTAAGGTAGAGCAGAATCACCTTCCTTTCTTTGCATACATTGTCCTTAGGTGGGCCACAAGCCCCCGAAAATACACAGGTGAATCTGCTTGAGATTTTGCCCCAGAAAAGTGAGAATCACAAGAGATAAAAGAGCTGAGTTGGCTATATTGACTACAGACTTTATAAAAATTGTGTCTTGGACAGGGTATAATGGCACACACCTGCAAATTCCAGCTCCTCAGGAGGCAGAGGTAAGAGGATGGAGGTCTGAGATCAACCTGGGCAATACCACAAAATTCTATCTGAGAAAAAAACTAATGCAAAGATGGCTGGGAGTGCAGCTCAAGTAGTAGAGTACTTGCCTAGCAAGAGCTGAGTTCAAATCCCAGTACTGCCAATATATATGTGCATATATATATCTTGGATATTTTGCCTTCCTGATAAACTAGAAACTTGTTGGGAAACATTTCAATATCTTGTATTTTTATTTCCCGTTTTGTATATTTAGTGTCATATGGCTGTCACCACTAACATATCGAAGTCTTTATTATATTTAATAACCTCTATTAGAATTTTGAGCAGGGTCTGCTTCTTTTCTGATAGTTGATTTCAACAATGACTTTAGAAAATCTGTTTTGACTCTCACTTTTTTGGCAAACTTCGACACACTGTAGAGTCATCCTTGATCTTTAACCTCAGAGCTGAAAGATGACCGTATGCTGGGCAGCTGAATGCCACTGACCACTAGTGTGCCACACCTCTGTTTAAAAACATCAGGGAACTGAGAAGTTAGGCTAGTTTATACAAGGTAGAGCTATGAGCAAGGTAAGTGGAGATAAAAATAAATGTGATGGCCCAGGAGTGGGAAAAATAAGCATTTATGCACAAAACACTTGCGGTACTAGCATCAAAGCTGACATCAGCATAAATGTAAAGCAGGATATATTCTTCTAGGACTTTAATAAAGCTAGGAGATTGGGCATCCTACAGAAACACTATAACCATTACACCATCAGACTCAGCAGCCCTTGATTATTGTCCTGAATTGGGGCAGGGAGGAAGTGTAAAGGCAGTAAACTCGAACTTTCAACTCACTGGCAAAATGATTTCTGATACTGAGTCTCCATCCTTCAAACAGAATCTTCAAAGTCATGTAATTTGGACTTGCTATCAGCATTTACAGCAGAGGCATCTTAAACATTCAATTTGCACTTTAGTTTTCACTCCCAAATTACCAGCTATATGCAAACTTGAAGCCCAACATTTTCCAGTGTGGTTCACACTCGCCTTCTAGTGGCCATAAACTCGAGGAGCACAAGTAATCACCCAAGAAATCTTAAGTGAAAGCCACTACTCAGTTTCTGCTGTCAGTTAAAAATAGGTCTCTGTCACATTTACTTTCACAGCTATAAACTCAGCTATTTCCTCTTGTTAAAAACTCGTATCTAGACGAAACTATTAAAGACTATATAATGCAATCATCGGAACACATTGTAATTTTTGCTTGATGTATATACACTGCTTTGAGTGTCAAGAAACTGTTTAACATGATAGCAAAGTAGTAAAGGAATTTTTAAAAATAATATCCTTTATGTAATTACCTCACTTCTCTTCCAAACGTTTCAACATGATGACTGATTATTAATGATCACAATGCCTAAGTCCACAAAACCCTGACAACTTATTTCCCCCAACACCTGACAGTTTTTTAAAATACAGGTTTTCAGAAGATCCCTTCACCCTTTCACTCTGCACCCCAGGGTTCTAAACTGGTAACCTGTCAGCCAACTGTGGTCAGGATGCATGATCTATTTATCTTCTAAAATTTCCTGATGGCTAGCAACATTTAAAGTTCAGGATGTCTGGCATCTCCTGAAGAAAGGATTGCAATTAGCAGTGTGCATCCTGTATCTCCACATGGTACCAGGCTTCCAGGGGCCCAGTGGGCTGCCCTTTTAGGTGGGGACCATGTGGTCCATTTAGCCTCATGGGTTACTTACCTGGGTCCTGGGTTTGTGGTCACTATCAAGTCTTCCTGACAACCAAGCCAACCTTATGTTTGCATCAGTTCTCCCAGAGGCACATAAAGAAGAATCATGCAGTTATAAAAAAAAAAGGGGGGGAGGGGGCGCATCCCATCTTGGTAACAGAGGGTCAAGAACTCACAAAGCAGTAATGTAGGTTTATTTCAAAGCCAATCTGTTTTCTCCAGACTTAATCAAGTTCACTTTGTGTTTATGAATTGTGTCTTTGTTCTGACATGACGAGACCCTTACTATAGGTTCCCATGTGACAAGTAAGCAACATAGATCCTCACTGTCACATACTATCACTAAACAACCCAATACGAGAACCAGAGCCAGGGTATGGTCAGTGGTGGCAGGCCAGACAAGAAAATGGAACGGTGACACTCACAGGCGTGCTGCTGTCGGAGAAAGTGTTCATGCTGACAGAGCTGCTCAGCTTGTCTGAGGACACGGAGGAAGGGGACGGGCTCCTCTTCTCCAGGGTGTCCTGCCTCTGCAGGTACTCACGCCAGGCTCGCTGAATGCTGTGAAGAAAGCCAGCACACACTCTGTCACTCCTGGTCACTGCCCACAACCCAGAAAAGCACAGGGGGTCTGCAGGAATTGCTTTGGAGACAGAAAAAAGTGTAACACATAGAATGTGCTTAAGAATTCAGAAGACCTGGGCTCGACTCCATTCTGGCCACTGACATGCTCTCTGTTTCACGGAATTGACCTTCACAGACTTTCCTGGGCTAAATCAATGTAAGTCAACTGAGTCAGAAAGAGTCACTGGTCAAAGTTAAACTGGTTTGCACACATAAATGTACTTTGATTTATGGAACAAAGTATCGTTTGATTTCTCATATTTCAAGTGAGAATAATAAGCTGATTGTTATTCATTCTTTCAACACATGATTATAGAGGGTGCTTGCTGTGCCAGGCTCAGCCCTCAGCTCTGGACAGAGATGCTGCAGGACAGACATCCACAGGTGCCATTCACACAGATCTCAGAATGAAGGGCAAGCAGCCATGTCATGCAGTGCCCCTGCTCTGGGGACAGGCAAGAGAGCCTGTGGTCACAGACCTTACATACTATGGAAGGAAATAGGCAATACATAAAAAAAGAAATACCTGAAAGTGTTATGTACTATTTAAAAATTAAAGTAGCATGTGACTAGGTGGCTACTTGAGATGTCACCCTAGGACATTCCTCATTCCCTGTCATTAGTATCAGAAAAAGCCCTCTTCTGCATTGAGTGATAGAAACCCATTCTGTATACAAGTGAAGTGACTTTCTCCCTACCGACTGGCTCATGACCTTTTTCACAGGTGGCCAAGGAATACTGTCTAATCTTTCCTAGAAGGTAGGCAGGCCTACGGACCAACTATTAGAGGGTTCAGTCTTTTAAAGTAGTTGTGGTAATTCCACCACTATCTCTCTTAGACCCCCCCAGATCTGATCTGTTATTCTTCCAGGCACAACCTAAGGCATTTAAGTTGTTTTCATGTAAACAAATTGATACATTTTCATTTGACTAGAATGGTTCAAAGACCATCCAAAAATGCTGACATTATTAAACCTGTATGACTTTCCTAATTAGAAGGATTTGTGAATTCTAGTACTCAAGGAAAAGTCCAGAAGCTGAAGTAAAAACAACATCTTGGGGGCCGGGGCAGAGGTCAGTTCCCTGAAGCTATGATACTTGAGTTTCAGGGACTCTCACTTGGAAGGCGGAGCCTTTTGCAAGACCCTGTGAGGAGTTGTCGACCGCTTTGATTTATATTTTTGTCATAATGTAGATAATTTTGCAATGTTTGATCAAAATTTGTCTTTGTGTATTTTTCTTTGGTTTAAAGATTTTAAACAGAATTTCAAAGAAAAGTTCTGTAAGATCAGCTGCCTGAGCTTGGTAGTTTCACTCATTTCCTCCAGGACCTATTTTATTGGAGAGTAGAAAACTTTTGGAAGCCATTAGGGACTCACATCACCAGAGGTTGGGGGATCTTCCAGAGTTCAGCTAGCAAATTTTGTCACTTGAGGTCACCTCAAATAAACCTTACCATTAAGAGCTCAAAACACATTCTATTTTAAAGGATGTGAGAAATTAAAAAATCTTGACAACCCACATAATGTCCACAGGTTAATATGACTTCAAAGTATTCTACCCTATCTTTTCTTTTTTTAAATCACCTTGATTATTCAGCAATAAAGGAAAACGTAGCAGCCATCTGCAGTACTATTGCATTCAGCTTGTTGAACACCAGGGGGCGAAGTGACACTTGTAAAGAACAAAGCAGGGTTGTGCCAACAGGTGAGAGCTTTGGGAAGGCGACCTGGTGAAGCAACCCCTTTCCTTCCTGCTTTTATGGCCTCTGGAAAGTGGTAAATAAATTTTCCTTAATTCAGAGATTAAGAAAACAGCATTATTTTCTCTAAGTGGATGGATACCTTCTTTAACAGGTAAGAAAGTGAAACAATATTTAATACTTTTAAAATGTGTACTAAAAACATTTCTATGCCTGCTGGGTTCCTTAATACAAGCTGTTTTATCTGTGAGTATTTAATTTACAGTCATTGTTCACATAGATGTAACAATTTTGCTTAGATATATTATATCTTATTCTTTTTAAAACTTAATATACTACAATAAATACTTTCCATGTATGACTTGTCTTTCATTATTATAGTTTTAAAGACTGTATGACAGGCTGAACAATGTCTTTAAACCACTAACAAAAGTTAAAAATAACAGGCCATTTGCGTCATAGTAAGTTATTCCCCTAAACTGTGACATTATTTTTTTAATGATGGAGTCATGACATTACTAGTGTCTGTATCCTAGAAGAGAGTTTCTTTCCCCTAAAGCACACCTCCAACATGACAACTGAATATTGACATGATCCAATATTAGCTCTCTTAATATCACCTCCAAATGCTATTTTACCATAAGAGGGAATTTAAACAAAATATAGAAGCACCTCACACCTCCGTTTTAAGGAATCACTTTTCAGAATTCTCATCCTAAACTTTCCCAAAATTCCTGCTCATAAGTCTCCTCTCTGCAGAGTAAAAATAGACTGCCTTAACATTTTCATTTTTTTAAGTTAAGCAACACAATCAGTATAATTCTTTAAAGACTAATTAAAATAAAGGAGCACATTTTGTCTGTTCCTGTATTTTAAGTTACAAATACTGATGCAAAATACATTTTTCAATAATTTTCTGGCTGGGTCAGTTCCTATTTATTTTCTCTCACATCAGTGGTGGCATTCTCTGCCCCTCTGTCCTTCCTCTGTGCATTCCTGTATCTTGTAGGGCACATGGCTCATTCCCGTGTTCACAGTCAATGGATGTCCTGACACAGAAGAGTAAAGGGGAGCTCCCTAAGAGCTGAGTTGTAGAAGCTTTAAGGGAGTCCCAGTGGATGGGAGAAAGAAGAAAATTCTTTGGGCTAAGACTTGCAAATGAGGGCACCTGGCAGGAGTTAAAAGGTCCACCTGGGGACCCTCTGGGTTTGAGGCTGTGCAGACAGAAGATCTCAGACATCCCTGGAGGCCAGGTGAGGAGCAAACTGAGCAGGGAAGGGGAAGCATGTCTTGTTGGCCCAGTTGATGATTGCCAGAATTTCCAAGTTTTCAGAATAGCCAGAAATAAGGAATTTTATTTCTTATTTATGGGAAAGTTACTAGTTCTTATATGTTACTAAATAATTTAAAATTTTTTGAAATACACAATAATCAAATTCAGTAGTCTTTCTTTCTTTTTCTTTTTTTGGCAGCATGGGGTTTGAACTCAGAGCCTCACACTTGTTAGTCAAGAGCTCTGCCACTTGAACCAACTCACCAGTCCTTTTCTATGATGGATTTTTTTTTTTTTTGAGACAGGGTCTCACAAACTATTTGCCCCACGGCTGGCTTTTAACCGTGATCCTCCTGATTTCTACCTTCTGAGTAGTTAGGATTACAGGCATGAGCCATGAGCGCCAAGCTAAACTCAGTAGTCTTAATTTGGAGATGGCCAAAAGAGGATGCCATCCAAGAGGACATATCCAGTCTGAATATCCAAGAAAAAAAAATAGTACACATAAAGTTCTTTTAAAAAATTTTCCTACTCACTCTTTACTACAAGTGGGTTGTAGGGAAGGCACTATGACCACAATGATAGGTTTTACCTGGCTAATATTAATTTCTTCTACTTCTTTTGCCTAATTCCAGCACCCACTTTGCTTTGGGGTCCCACCAACTCTTGTTACATGAGCACTCCATGAGGTGGATCTGTCTCAGTCCTGTAGAGGGTGCCCGTGTACATGGGCTGACCAACCAGTGCACAGTGATCAACTTAGGTACACTGCTCTAGTTTGGATGTTAAATGTCCCCCAAAGGTCCAGCTGTTAAAAGCTTGGTCCCCAAGATGGTGCTCTTGAGAGGGAGTAGAAACTTCAAAAGGTGTATCCTCATAGCAAGTCCTTCAGTCACTGGAGTGCACCCTTGAAGGAATAGTGAGACCCAAGTCTTTTCTCTGCTCCTGGCTTATAAGTGGTTTTGCTCAGCCACACACTCCTGCCATGATGTGCAGCCTTGCCAAGGGCCCAAATCAACGAGGCTGATAGATCGTGTACTGGAACCTCCAAAACTGTGAGCCAAAACAAATCTTTCCTCTTTGTAAGTTAAATATGAATGTTTCAGAGAACAAGGTGGTAACTGACCATCAGACCTAACATGTAGACCAGATCCCCTCTCTCCCTATGACCTTGCACAGGCTTTTATGATGTAACAAAAGGTGCAAGTAGAAAGGTAAGGGGAAATGTTAAAGGGAGAAACCAGGAGGGCTCCCGCGCTGCCACCAGACAGCAATGCCCAGGTGGCTTGGGAAGACACAGAGCACAGAGTGAGCTAAGTGGTACATGGTACTCCCACAGACAACCCTGGGCCAGATCAGCATAGCCCCCTGGACAGACCAACCTCCACCCAGGGAAAAAAGAAAAAAAATCTGAATAATAAGCAATAACAAAAAAAAAGACAGGTAGCAAAGAGCTACATGTGCACTGAGCACTGAAGGGGGGGAGGGGAAATCCCTCACAAAAAGCCGGCTGGAGAAGGCAGAAGCAGTGGCACACACCCAGCAACCAGGAGCAGGAAAGCTTGTAAAAGTGGTGGTGGGAGGAAAACTCCACTGGAGAGGGGGGAAGACCCACTTCCCACATGAACTGTAAATAAACACACAGGCCTGAGAAAGCAGGTTCAGTGTCACCTCCCCCAGTGTGCTTGGAAAGGGGAAAGCTTGTAGCAGTGGCTCCCTCACAGGAGAACTCTGAGTAAACAAAGCCTGAGGGGCCAGGTGAGTGCTAAGCTCTCCCCTGAGATCTGCATAAATAATGCCTCCAGCAACAGCAGGCTGACAGCATCAGGCAGGCAAGGCACAGCCGCAGATACCATTCACAGAACTGTCTCCAGACTTTTTTTTTTCTTTCTTCCTTTGATAAGACAACAACCGAACTACACCTGCATGCTGAAAAACTTACTGAAACTGTATTGCATTTGAACTTGGGGCACTTTGTGGTGTTTTTTCAGTTTTGTGTTGTTTTGTTTGGTTTTTTTCCCCTTTGATGAGACAATGACAGAAC